CACTCAGGAGGCTGAGGCAGGAGCACTGCTTGAATGTGGGAAGCAGAGGTTGCAGTCATCCGGTATTATGACACGGCACTCCAGTATGAGTGACAGCGAGATTCCGAAAAAAATAAAAGAAGAACGGAATGGTTTTTCCTAAGGTTAAGAGTTTAGAGTAATGGAAATGATTTTATTTGTGTCAAAATGAACCTGACTGAAAGGAAAAATCCAAGAAAACTGCAGAAACATGGAGACAAGAAAAACAAAAGGCACATGTTTTATAGTAACACAACACTAGAGCGTAGCTTTATATTCCGAGGCCTAAAAAGAAAAAAAAAAAAAATCTAACCACTGTTAGGAAAATAGTGACAGGCATGGTTACACGAGAAAAGAGAGTTTTGTTGTTTGAGACAGGGTCTCGCACTGTCCCTCAGGCTGGAATGCAGTGGCGGGAGCTCCTCTCACTGTAACCTCAAGCGATCCTCCTACCTCAGTCTCCCCAGTAGCTGGGATACGCACAGAGCTCCACCAACTGTTCTTCGACCTCTGGATACATATATTACCCCTTTATCTCCCACCCTTGTATCATTTTACTCTGAGAACCAGGAATATCAGCTCTGCATGTCACCAGGCCTGCTATTTTTTTAAATGTTCTGTAGAAACCGGGGTCCACTGACGCCTCTCCTGTCTCAGTCTCACATGAAGTCTCAAACCTGGACGAAAAACCGCCGTCACTGGCACCCTTGCCACCCAGCTTTCAACCACGGAGCCTCAAAGGTAGGATCTCTCCCGCAGACACCAAACCCCGGCAGTCGGACCCGCGAACTTTCATCCCTTCAGACCCTTGAACCACTGACCACTAAAGGGCCCATGACGAAATCACCAGGATTGCCCAGCGGCCGAATCACAAAAAACCCCCAAGACAGGGTCTTCCACCCAGGCCCCTCACCTGGGGTCAGGTACGCCAAATCCTAAGCTTCTCGGGACTCTGCTGGCAGCTGCCAGGGGCTGAACCCCCTTCCTAAGCCACGTGCCACCCCGCGGCTCCCGCACTGCTGCCGCCCGGGAGTTGCTAGGGACGCCGTCTGCCCGCACGCGCAGACCAGGTAGTTATAGGCTCTGTGTCGTAACGTGGCCACGCCCACGAAGCGGCCTTTACGGAGCCGCCCTTTAGGGGGCTGTGGCGCAGCGCGGAGAGAGGAAATTGTAATCCCTTTACGGCACCACGTTGCCTGAATGTCCGTCATCAGTCAAGATCGCTGTGCTGAGTAAATTTTCAGGGTCCAGAGCCTATCCGAGGCCAATATGGAGCGGCTCGCGTTTTCAGGCTTTTGGGAAAAATGGGAAGATGGGGATGCCCGGGAGCCGTTAGAGCACCATGGGTGCGGCCATCTTAAGGAAGGCCGCTGTCCGTATGGCTGAGAAGACCCCCCAGCTCGCTTCTGGTTGGAGGCGCCTTTGGATGACACAGAGGTTTGTGGGACTGAGAGGTTACTGGGAGGCAGCAGTCACCAGGTAGACAGAAACACTGAACAGTTCGAGCCCCGGGGATATTCGGAAATGAGGCGGGGATGGGAATGAGAATGAGTGAAGCCGGTCCGGATGAGGTTGGTCACAGAACTGCTAAAAGAGCGGAGCCGAAGGTGAGGACCCGGCTCCGTGAACCAAATGCCTTCCAGTGTCCTGGAAATGTAACTACCTCCAGCAAGGAGGGGAAAGAGGTGAGCCTCAAATATACGCACGTTTCCCTAAAAAACAAAGGGCATTTGTGAGCGATTTAATAATGAGATGTTACTTTGTTTGGCGTCGTCCCCAATTTTAAAAATAAACAGCACACGCAAAAAAATGTTAGCTATTTAGACAGGCAAGGAAGGTGGGTAGTGAAGGAAATACTTTTTGCATCCTTTTTTGGAGGACAACTTGGAATTATATGTACAATTTAAATTTTTTATTCGTTTTTGATCCAGCAATCCCAATTCTAAGATTTCAATTAAAACTTTTTATATTGGTCGGGCGTGGTGGCTCAAGCCTGTAATCCCAGCACTTTGGGAGGCCGAGGCGGGCAGATCACGAGGTCAAGAGATCGAGACCATCCTGGCCAACGTGGTGAAACCCCGTCTCTACTAAAAATACGAAAATTAGCTGGGCATGGTGGCAATCGCCCATAATCCCAGCTACTCCGGAGGCTGAGGCAGGATAATCAATCAATTGAACCCAGGAGCAGGGGCAGAGGTTACAGTGAGCCAAGATCTTACCACAGCACTCCAGCCTGGGTGACACAGTGAGACTCCGTCATAAAAAAAAAAAAAAAAAAATTGTATATCTATGACATTGGAGACTCAGAAGCAGGAGATTAGGAAGGGGATGAGGGATTACAGACTACATATTGGGTACCATATACACTACTCGGTGGCCAGTGCACTAAAATCTCAGAATTCACCACTGTATAATTCATCTGTGTAACTGAAAACTACTCATACCCCAAAACCTGTTGAAATAAAATATATATATATAGTAAAAATAACAGTCCTTTAAAAAAAACGCTATTTCACATACATCCAAATGGCCTGCTCCCTACTCCAACTGAACCTCAGAGTATGCAACTGCAAAACTCAGGTCCCGCTCTCCTCCAGATTTACTTCTTCCTTACTCTGTCTCATCCAGAATGCAGATAAGGGAGTTATCTGGATTATAGGTTACTAGTTCCTGATGTGAAAAGGTCAGAGGACCAACCCAAAATACAATCCATGCATCATCTTCACACCTGTCCCGGTACTGATGATGCCATCTCCAAAAGAAAACTGAAATCTGTCCTCACTCTGTTCTCATCACTTTAGTCCATTTATCTGCGTTACTACTGCATCTGACACCTCGCTGGGCCCTGTAAGTTGGTGGCACTCCATCCACTTCCTTGTTCCGTACCACAATCCATCTTTATTATACCCCCTATTAAGCCCTGAATGAATAAATTACAGACTGAGATCTCAGAATGTTTACGGCTGTACATAAACACCCGATTCTCCATTCTCATCTTCCATTACTCTCTGCCTTACATTTGAGTCTTACTCTGCCCCTTTCCCAGGTCTTACAGGCTACCAGTAATTGGCACATACTTTCCCTTCTTGCGAAGTGCTTGGCACACAGGAAACAAGGATTATTAGTTACTATACTTGTTCTTTCGCGAGTCATTTGAAATGTCACTTCTTCAGACAGCATTCTGGGATGGCTCTTAGGTTTCTCTTATTTATAATAATGCAATCATTAAATATAAAATTGCAGCTCCTAAGTGGGACTAAGGAAGGGAACTATAGAAGGCATCAAATAGGGAAATAAGGGAAGCATCTCTCTTCTGGGGACGATCGGAGATCATTTTTCCTGATCATCATCATCTGCTCACTTAACTGCTGTTCACAATGGACTGTGAGTTCCACAAAGGCAGAAACTACTTTTTTTTTGGCCCCAGTGCTCAGAACAAAAACTGGAACACAGTGCTTCAATAATAAGACTGTTGAACAAATAACTGTATCCAAAAGAGTATCTTGCATAGTGATGGTACATTAGTTACCTAGTAACCCAGGATTTCTGTTGAATTCTGAGCTAGTCACAGCAAGGCAAATTTCCATTTTTTTTTTCCCCTATGAACAGCACTCACTGTAACTTGGACAGTGTATCCATATAGGGATGAAGGCTAAAAAACTGGATAAAGAAAGCCAAGAGATCTGATCCCAGAAACGTGAGAAGAATGATGAAGATAAATCATGTCCAAAAAAAAAAAAATCACAGTTCAGCAGGTTACAGGGGAGCTGGATCTTTGAAATGGTAACTCTAGCAGGTGATAGGTCTTACAAATAAAAGAGTCATTTCTGCCGGGCGCGGTGGCTCAAGCCTGTAATCCCAGCACTTTGGGAGGCCGAGGCGGGTGGATCACGAGGTCAAGAGATCAAGACCATCTTGGTCAACAAGGTGAAACCCCATCTCTACTAAAAATACAAAAATTAGCTGGGCATGCTGGTGCGCGCCTCAGGAGGCTGAGGCAGGAGAATTGCTTGAACCCAGGAGGTGGAGGTTGCAGTGAGCCGAGATCGCGCCATTGCACTCCAGTCTGGGTAACAAGAGTAAAACTCCATCTCAAAAAAAAAAAAAGTCATTTCTAAGATGTCACAGAAGAAATCTACCTCCTCCCATGTGTTACAGTCTCATCCATTCTTGGAGACCAAGATTTTCATCTTCCTTCTATGTTCTATTTATTCCAAGGGTCATATTCCTTTTATGTCCTGCCCCTTTTATATTTGTTTGAGTCTTGCTTACACCCATTACCAGAGGTAAAAAAGGAAAAAAAAAAAAAAAGAAATATATTTAAGTCACTCTAATCACATGAAAGTTGTGACAATTCCATTCTTTACAACTGTCAGTCCCTTCAATGACAAAATAACTTTAACCTATTAGTTCATACATTCACTCTCCAAATCAATATATAATTAGTTTTCTTTTTCTATGTGTTGGGAAATATTAGATCATGCAAACCAGCCTCTCCAGCGTAACTTCTGGGATGTTGGAAATGATGACAGAGTCCCCGTTGTGTCCACGTTCTGCCCACTGTGCTGTCCAGTTTGGTAACTGCTACTCACATACAGCTCTTGAGCGGAGAGGGAACTGAATTTTTAAAGTTTGTGTTCAGTTTCTTTAATTCTAACATTTAAGTACCCACAAGACTTAGCAGGGAATCTGTAATCTCTTGGAGAGATAAGACATGGGCATTAAAAAAACCTCATTTTTGTACTAAGGTGCTTAAACTACCATTAACAGCAGTCCTTATGCTGCTCCCTGAATAATAAATTATCACGTCCCCAGACAGTTACTCCATGTCCATTCCACAGAATGGAGATATCTGTATCCCCTGACTAGATTAGCTGAGTGTAATCGTACCGCTTAAAGATAACGCCACAAACTCGCCAGGAGACCACAAACCTTTTCTTCTTTGTTTACACTATGACCTCAGCTCCTGGAACAGGACAGGGTAATTTTTAAATATTTGTTTAATGAAACAAATTAACTAGTGTTTCAGAGATTCCTCTGCATAATATAAAGTTTTGAAAGTTTATGGTCCTGGTTTTCAATGAATCCTTCAAACTGATCTAAGGAAACTCAGTTGACACATACATGTCCCACATCCCACCAATCCAGTATTAGCCCTTTCCCATCAACTGCCCCTTTTGGGGCTTTTCAGTCACTGCAACACTCCAGATACTGATGATCTCATCTGTTTGAAAAATTTGCAGTACTTCATTTCCTCCACTTAAAAGTACCTGGCTTCCTTCATTCATTTAATTGACACAGTAGAGCAACTGCTGTGTATGTGCATAGGGTACATTAGATTTTGCCTTTGTATCACAGCATATTTTAAATAGGATGAGTTTATCAGTTTTTTTCAGCCTTACACACTTTCTCTCAGTGTATACTTTTAAGCCACATAATGAACTACAAATTTGTGATCAACCCTTTTCCACATAGAGCTGGGCTTTCTTCCTATGAGTTTTCTGTAACATAAAATAAGACATAATTGATCACGGAAGGCATGACCACATTCACTGCATTCACAAGGTTCCTGTCCTGTGCAAATCCTCTGTTATCTCCTGAGGCTGCACATCTGACCACTGGCTGTCCCACAAGGACTACGTTCCTGTTTGCTAGGAGGCCACTGATGTTGAATGATGTCTGAGGGGCCATGGAAGGCAGCTGTGTAGTCACCATGCTAGCAGAGCTTTTCTCCTGCATGACATCACTGGTGTGTAATAAGCTGTGCCTCTCTGCAGGAGGATTTTCCACCGTGGCTGCCTCTTGTTTCTCCCTTGTGTGTATTCTCTTATGCTTAACCAGGCACGACATATAAGCAAAAGCTTTCCCACACTCATTACAGCCATAAGGTCTCTCTCCTGTATGAGTCCTTTGATGGACAATGAGCTTTTGCTTTGTGCTGAAGGCTTTCCCACATTCGCTGCATTCAAAGGGTTTCTCTCCTGTGTGAATTCTTTGATGTTTAATGAGACCTGACTTCTGAGAACAGGATTTTCCACATTCACTGCACACAAAGGGCGTCTTTCCTGTGTGAAATCTCTGATGTGCTATGAGGCAAGTCTTCTGAATGAAGCCTTTTCCACATTCATTGCATATATAAGGTTTCTCACCTGTGTGAATTCGCTGGTGTACAATGAGATTTCCTTTCTGGATGAAGCCTTTCCCACATTCACTGCATATGTAGGGTTTCTCTCCTGTATGTGTTTTCTGATGTATGTTGAGCCGTGACTTCTTGAGAAAGGCTTTGCCACATTCAGGGCATTCATACGGTTTTTCTCCTGTATGAGTTCTCTGATGTTCCGTGAGCATGAACTTTCTGGAGAAGGCTTTCTCACATAGATTACATCTGTGGGGTTTCTCTCCTGTGTGCATTACCTGGTGATCAGTGAGCCAAGACTTCTTGACGAAGGCCTTCCCACATTCACTGCATACATGATGCTTCTCTAATTTTCGAGTTTTCTGATGCTTGGGATTGATGAATTGGGACTTAGTGCTGATGGATTTTTGACTTGCAGGAAATTTAATTGCAGTATGAAATCGTTCATGGTTGGCACGAAGAAAGGAGTCCCCATTTCCTGTAAACTCAGCAGGGTTCTTTATTTCATAGCGTTTGTTCTGGTTAACTAAAGTTAAATTTGATTTCGAACTTTTTCTATCTAAGTCAAATATATCGTGATTTTGCCCTAACAGAAACTGACTTTTGCTCCAATGAAGAATATTTTCAAATGCATCATTTTCATGGCATGGTTTCCTTCTGTTTACCAGGTTTTCACACTGTAAGTGCTCCAACAACTGATCATCAAATTTCCAGATTTCTAGAAAGAAAAGAACAAAGATTTCCATCATTTTATTTGGAGTAAAAGTTTTTTTGTTTGTTTATTTTAGATGGAGTTTTGCTCTGTTGCCCAGGCTGGAGTGCAATGCTGTGATCTCGGCTCACCGCAACCTCCACCTCCCAGGTTCAAGCAATTCTCCTGCCTCAGCCTCCCAAGTAGCTGGGATTACAAGTGCGTGCCACCACGCCAAGCTAATTTTGTATATTTAGTAGAGATGGGGTTTCACCATGTTAGCCAGGCTAATCTTGAACTCCTGAACTCAGGTAATCCGCCTGCCTCAGTCTCCCAAAGTGCTGGGATTACAGGCGTGAGCTACTGTGCCTGGCCCCAAAGTATTGTTTTTAATGCCTCGATGTGAAGTGTCTCTTTAGTAATAACCCTATGATCTGAGTGTAGTAAAACTTCATGTTCAATGTTCCTTGTACATTGGCAAAAAAGAATAATATAAACAAACTAAAAGATAAAAGCAGTTAGCATAAAAACAAGGTTAGATAACTAACAATTAAGACAGATTTGGCTGCTTTCTAAATATGCCTTGCAAAACAAAGACCTTAAAATACAAGCAACTCACTGTGACCAGCAGACCAGAGGTTGGAGGGGGCCACTTCATCCAAAGGACAGACCCATTAATTCCACACACTCTTACTGAATGATCACCATGGGCCAGGCAAGGTGCTAGTGTTGGGGATAGGCATGAGAATCGCTTGAACCTAGGAGGCAGAGGTTGCAGTGAGCCAAGATCATAACATTGCACTCCAGTCTGGGAAACAGAGCGAAACTCTGTCTCAAAAAAAAAAAATAAATTAGGCCAGGTGAGGTGGCTCATGCCTATAATCCCAGCACTATGGGAGGCTGAGGCAGGCGGATCACAAGGTCAGGAGTTTGAAACCAGCCTGACCAACATGTTGAAACCCCATCTCTACTAAAAATAAAAAAGAAAGAAAAAAATTAGCCAGGTGTGGCAGCGCATGCCTGTAATCCCAGCTACTTGGGAGGCTGAGGCAGTAGAATCTCTTGAACCTGGGAGGCAAGGTTGCAGTGAGCAGAGATCACACCACTGCACTCCTGTTTGGTGACAGAGCAAGACTTCGTCTCAAAGAAAAAAAAAATTAATAGTAATAAATACTCTTTACATGATTGAGTCAGGGAAGAAATCATATGTGTGGAACACACGGGGAGGGTTTAGGGAAGAAGACAGAAATCCCTTTGTGAGCAAGATGATATTATATCACAGACATCACTGCAATGAGAAATCTGACAGGTAACATGGTTTACTGAAAGTTAGCGATACCACAATACAACGGGGGAAAAAAGCAAATTATTAAATACAGAATGGAATCAAACGGAAGTAGGCAGGAGTTATGACCTGGTTTAAGCTGGACTTGAGAAGGCAGGTTGTTAAAAAAATAACTTTTTTACTTAGAGATCCATCATGACTAGCAGAGACCTTTAAAGAAGAAAGCTCTTCAGGCAGCTGAGGCCTGGATGGTCAAGATTTAGGGTGCACAGGAACGGAGGAGAATCGAAACTTAACGGGTTTTCATGGAGGAAAAATGATTCTAGTTCTTGCAGTTACTAGGATCTCAGGGGAGAGTTGCCATCAAGTAAATTATATAGGACTACAATCTGTGTGAGCATTTACCCCCGCCTGTCTAAGCCAAAAAAAAAAAAGAACTAACATCTGTGTTAGGGAGGCATAGGGAGATGTCAATTTCAGACTCTCCTCCAGGGAATGGAAGGAGCTTCTCTTACTAGAATTAAGAGAACTTTGAAGAGTAAAGGGCACAGATGATAAAATGGAAAACAGGGCTTTTGGAGAACCTAAGAATAAGGAAAAAGAGAAGCTAAGGAAGCCAAGGCACAGTGAAAGGCCAGCTGCCGTTGAGGAAGCAGCATCCAACACAGGACAGGTGTTAGGAGGGGAGGTCAGCATAGCCAAGGGGCAAAAAGGGGCCAGAGTCAGAAAACAGTGAGGACTTCACAGTTTCCTCTTTGGACAGAGGCCTGGAAGGTGGAATTTCCTAACAAGAGAGGGGGAAGCATATGAAGAAGGGAAATACTTGAAACCTGAGGAAGAAGAAAATTAGGCAGGCAAACAAAAAATATGTAGATAAAAGAATCAGATCTCTGAGGAGATAAAGGGATTTTTTTAAAACTGTAAATTCCTACAAAGAAAAACAGGTCTCACACTGGGAGACAGAGGTGTGCAGGAGCTGTTTACATATCCTCACACCCCCTCCACAGCTCGGTCGCCTTCTCTGATAGACTAGAATGTGACTCCCACAGCCTTCTGCCTTGCGAGTTCTCTCACCTGCGCCACTGTGGATTCCATCTTTTACTGTCCACGGTGGTTGTCCTTGTCCCAACTTGAAGAGTGCATCTGGTTTACTGGCTTGATACCCTGTTCAGGGAAATGATGGAAGACTTAGAAATACCAAATTGGGCTGGCAGTGTCAAAAGGGGAGACCGTTACATGTTAAGAACCAAACCTTCATATGAAAGTGTAGTTTCCTATCTGTGACATCAAGGTTTTCTCTCACAAGAGGGTAGAGTATACTGTCATGTGTGGGAGCAAAGGAAGGACCTGAGAATCTACCACTTCAGAGTACTCCGGGTATTCCAAAGAGGTAGGCATCTGAGAAAGGAAGGCCACTGACTGGGCACCCTCTGAATGACACAAGGCAGCTGTCCTCACCCACTGCCACCAGGTTGCTGTAGTTCTCCAACATCACATCCCGGTACAGGTCCTTCTGAGCAGGGCCTAGGAGCTGCCACTCCTCCCGAGTGAAGTCCACAGCCACATCCTCCAGTGTCAGGGATTCCTGTAATAACAGTCCTGTGTAATGAAGTGATGCATTTTTGATGATATGGAAGAAATGCTAAAGTTTTTTTGCTCATTTCCACTCTACAGGCTATGTTTATATACCAAATAGATTTAAAAAAAAAATTCATTGTGGAAGAAGTAAAGTCTTAATGAAATATTCTGTAATTGTATATTCAGTCATCCTCCACTCACCCAACTAGAAGTTTCTATAATGTGTAGCAGTTAAATCTTGCTAACCTAGGGCCAGGTGCAGTGGCTCACGCCTATAATCCCAGCACTTTGGGAGGCCAAGGTGGGCAGATCATGAGGTCAGGAGTTCAAGACCAGCCGGACGAACATAGTGAAACCCCATCTCTACCAAAAATACAAAAATTAGCCAGGTACGGTGGCACACACCTGTAGTCCCAGCTACTCAAGAGGCTGAGGCAGGAGAATCACTTGAACCCAGGAGGCGGAGGTTGCAGTGAGCCGAGATCCCACTACTGCACTCCAGCTTGGGCAACAGAGCAAGACTTTATCTCAAAAAACAAAAGAAAAAAACTTGCTAACCCGGAAACAACATATTTACACATTTTATATATGTGAATATATACAAATAAATGTACATATATTTATTTTATATACATGCAGACAAAAGACATATATACAGTCGTCCCTCAGTATCTATAGGGTATTGGTTCCAGGACCTCCTGAGGATGCTGAAGTGTCTGATATAAAATGGCATAGTATTGGTCAGGTACTATGGATCACCCCTGTAATCCTAGCACTTTGGGAGGCCAAGGCAGGAGGGTCGCTTGAGCCCAGGAGTTCAAGACCAGCCCGGGCAACAGCATGAGAGCCGGTCTGTACAAAAAATTTAAAAATTAGTTAGGTACGGTGGGAAGTACCTGTGGTCCCAGCTACTTAGGAGACTGAGGCAGGAGGCTCATTCGAGCCCAGGAGTTAGAGACTACAGTGAGTTATGATCATGCCACTCTACTTCAACCTGAGAAATAGAGAAAGACTCCGTCTTTAATAAAATAAAACCGGAGAGTACTTGCAGATTTGCATGTAACCCATGAACATCCTCCTGTATACTTTTTTTTTCTTTTTAAATGGAGACTCAACTCTCCCAGGCTGGAGTACAGTGGCATAATCTCAGCCCACTGAAACCTCCGCCTCCCAGGATCAGGCAATTCTCCTAACTCAGCTTCCCAAGTAGCTGAGACTACAGGCATGTGCCACCACACCCAGCTAATTTTTTTTCTTTTTTGAGATGGAGTTTCACTCTTGTTGCCCAGGCTGGAGTGCAGTGGCATGATCTCAGCTCACTGCAACCTCCACCTCCCAGGTTCAAGCCATTCTCCTGCCTCAGCCTCACAAGTAGCTGGGATCACAGGCACCTGCCACCATATCCAGCTAATTTTTTTGTATTTTTCGTAGAGACAGAATTTCACTATGTTGGCCAGACTAGTCTCAAACTCCTGATCTCAGGCAGTTCACCCGCCTTGGCCTCCCAAAGTGCTGGGATTACAGGTGTGAGCCACCATGCCCGGCCCTACGTACTTTAAATTATCTTTAGATTACTTACGATATCTAATACAATGTAAGATCCAGGCCTCTTCTATTTCTGATGAACTAATCATAAATTGAAGGGTCCCAGGATCCTCTCCCTGAGTCTGATAATTTTTGAAGAAGGAGAAAATCGAATAATGGAGAAACAGGATCTAACACTGAGAATTTTTCAGAATTGATTAAACACTCCAAACACCAAACTCAAGAAACCCAACAGGTTTTCAAGCAAGAAATTTACACATAGACACATCAGATTGAAACTCAATTACACCAGATACAAAGGGCAGACTATGAAAGCATCCAGACACCAAGACAGATGACCTACGAAGGAGACAAAATTTTCTGACAGCTGACTGCTGCACAGAAACACTCACAGCCAATAAACACTGGGACAGAAAGCGTAGGGTCGTCAGCCCTTGGACAACACAGCCCAACCCTGAAGACCACCTGGGCTAGCAAAGGACCCACAGCCCTGTAATAGTGACTAGTGACAATTAAGACTGCTTAGCAATGAATCATCAATCTTCTGTCTCCGGATGTGTTTGAAGGATACTGCTGGGTGTGAAATTGAGTCAGTAAAGACCCACGGAACAGCAGAAGGTATACTCTATCCTCATTTTACTGTAGAGGCCAGTGAACAGACTTGGTAGACAATACAAGTACTTAATCCTGGTTGGTTTACCCATTCTAAATTATTTAGATGGGTACCTATCCATCTGGAAAAAAGCAAAGTGAAAGTCCTGCCTCACTCCGCTCTCAGAAATGACTTACTATATGACTGATCTACAGCAGGTGGATTCAACGGCTCAATGAACTCACCCTCCCAGTATTCACACCTTTATGTCGTTCCCCTCCTTGAGCACGGGCTGGCCTAGTGACTCACTTCCACCCGGAAGAGCATGGCAAAGGGGTTGGAATCTCACTTCCGTAATTAAGCTACACGAGATGTGTTTTAAAAACTTATTCAATGAGAATTGTTAAAGCACAGTAAGGCAGACAGACTTTGTTCAGGGCCATTATGATCAGTATAAAGACAAATGTAATGGGATTTTGCAGTGGGAGAGGGTGACTGGACTCCAAATACAGCATAAGCAAGTGGAATTTATAGCTAAGGAGTAGAGGGTCAGTAATACAAAATTACTAAGAGGGCTGGGCACAGTGGCTTATGCCTGTAATCCCAGCACTTTGAGAGGCTGAGGCAGGCAGATCACCTGAGGTCAGGAGTTCAAGTCCAGCCTGGCCAACATGGCGAAACCCCAACTCTACTAAAAATACAAAAATTAGCCAGGTGTAGTGGCACATGCCTGTAGTCCCAGCTACTCAGGAAGCTGAGGCAGGAGAATCACTTGAATCTGGGAAGTAGAGGTTGCAGTGAGCCAAGATGGTGCCACTGCACTCTAGCCTGGGTGACAAAGTGAGACTCTGTCTCAAAAAACAAAAAAAATTACTAAAAGGGGCCAGGCGCGGTGGCTCATGCCTATAATCCTAGCACTTCGGGAGGCCGAGGTGGATGGATCACAAGGTCAAGAGATCGAGACCATCCTGGTCAACAAGGTGAAACCCCGTCGCTACTAAAAATACAAAAATTAGCTGGGCATGGTGGCACGCGCCTGTAGTCCCAGCTACTCGGGAGGCTGAGGCAGGAGAATTGCCTGAACCCAGGAGGCGGAGGTTGCGGTGAGCCGAGATCGTGCCATTGCACTCCAGCCTGGGTAACAACAGCGAAACTCCATCTCAAAAAAAAAAAATTACTAAAAGGAAGCACTGGGGTAAAGGGGGGTTTGGCTGAACTATGCCAACCCACTTCTTGCTAAAGACAGGACAGGGTAATCACACATCACCTGCAGGATGGTGATAACCCTCAATCACATATGGAGGGTTATCAAATCTTGAGGGTGGGGGTTCCTGCTAAACTGACTTAGCAGGGTTCTTTGCTAAAATTAGACTTTACAAGGAAGTGCACAGATGGGCCTAGGAACCTGCCTAAAGTTTGTTTAAGCAAAGAATCTTAGATGTTACTTCTGTCTTACTGGCTTTGATGAAGCCAGTTGCCATGTAAAAGAAAACCAACTTGGCAACGAACTGAGGGCTGCCTCTGGCCAACAGTGAGGACGAGAGGCCCTGAGTCCAATAACCCTCATAAAGTGAATTCTGCCAACCTGTAAGTGAGCTTGGAAGCAGATCCTCTCCATTCGAGCCTGAGATCAGACTCCAGCTCCAGCCAGCACCTTGACTGCAGCCTTGTGAGAGACCATGAAGCAGAACACCAAGCTATGCTTTGCCCAGATTCCTGACCACAGAAACTTGGACATAGTGTGTATGTTTCAGGCTGCTAACATTTGGGGATGATGTGTAAGGAAGATAGAAAACTAATACAAGACCTAAAGACAAAACAACAAAATTATGGAAAATACATGTGATACAAATCAAAAGCCAGAAATGAAGACAATGATAATTTTGTAACAAAGTTTTAATCAAACATTGAGGCCACACACAGTGGCTCATGTCTGTAATCCTAGCACTATGAGAAGCCAAGGGAGGAGGATCATTTGTGGTCCAAGACCAGCCTGGGCCATATACCAAGACCCCATCTCTCAAAAAAAATTTAAAAATTGGTCTAGCATAGTGGTGTGCACCTATAGTTCCAACTACTCTAGAGGGTGAGGTGAGAGGATCACTTGAACACAGGGTGAGGTGAGAGGATCTCTTGAACACAGGGTGAGGTGAGAGGATCTCTTGAACACAGGGTGAGGTGAGAGGATCTCTTGAACACAGGGTGAGGTGAGAGGATCACTTGAACACAGGGTTAGGTGAGAGGATCACTTGAACACAGGGTGAGGTGAGAGGATCACTTGAACACAGGGTGAGGTGAGAGGATCACTTGAACACAGGGTGAGGTGAGAGGATCTCTTGAACACGGTGGTCAACAAGGCTGCAGTATGCTGTGATTGCGCCACTGCACTTCAGCCTGGGGAACAGGCAAGATCCTGCCTCCAAAAAATACATATTTTAAAACTTCTACATGGAAAGAAACAAGTGACAGTCTGGGAAAAAATATCTGCAACATATAAATAAAGTATCAATATATAGTGGATATAAACAACGCGTATAAATGAGTAAGACAAAACAGATGTTTCAATAAGGCAGGGAAAAGCACAGGTATTTTATAGAACAAACAATTTAACTGCCCAAGAAAGATTTAAATCTCACCAGTAATTGGAAAAATGCAAAATTAAGCAGAACAATACAGACCTTATACTACTATGTTGTATGATACTGAGTTTAAAAACTAAGCTTATTTCTCTCCAGATCCTGTTTTTTGAAATGTATACTTTTTGTATTAGTGAAATTGATTTTTATAGGCCTTTACAAATCTACTGTGGGACAAAGGAAAGAATAAAACAAACCAACAGTTAGTTACCTGGGTCTGGATCATTTTCTTCTGTTCCAGGAAAATGGCATTCAGCTGGGACAGCCTGTCTTTGTGTCTTCTGGACCTCTCTTCCGAAGTCAGTCTTCAGTGGTGCCCCTGGAAATGCGGGTCCCAAATCTGCGTCCTCCCTTGTCAGGTGCTGTCTTTGCTCCTGAGGGGTCAGAACCTGTGGGCTAAAGCAAATGCGGTGTAAGTGGTACACTTTCCCTGGGCCCAGATACTCTCACTGCTCCCAGGCATTCATCTGAAAACAATGCCCCCAGTATAGTTAACGGTACCTTTATTTGGAGCCCCAGAAGATTTTATTCCTCCGGCCAGTAACATCTAGGATTCTAAATGTGGTGGAGCTATGCCTTTCTTCTGTGACAGTTTCCATGGAAGGACTGTGGAGGCATGTGCGAAATGAGACCTGCCACAGCACCATGCCTTAGGAGTCGGTGAACTCTCGGGCAGATTAGTTTTAGAAAAGAGATAATCAGCCAGGAGAGGAGCTGCTCTTTGTTTCCCTTTAAATCATGGTGCTCACACACTTCTTCGAAAGTCTTTGTACACCATGTGAGGACAAGGACTTCAGTTTGAAAGTCAATGTGCTTGCTGGGCAAATCATAAGCATTGTCATAAAAACAGTAGTGACAATATTTTAGGAAGTTTTAAATACATAAAAAACTAAAATACACAATAATTTACTAGATAAATTAGAAGGTAATAAATGAAGGTGGCATGCTCTAAGGTTTCTGTAGAATGGGAAAGTGCTAATTAACATAAGAATATGACAAAGGTTGCACACTACATGTAATTTCTAGTGTTATATTTAAAACTAGTAAGTCTGGGTGCAGTGCTCATGCCCATAATCCAACACTTTAGGAGGCCGAGGTTGGGGGATCACTTGTTGTCAGGAGTTTAAGAGACCAGCCTGGCCAATGTGGTGAAAACCCATCTCTACTAAAAATACAAAATTAGCAGGGCATGGTGGCATGCGCCTGTAATTCCAGCTACTCAGGAGGCCGAGGCAGGAGAATCACTTGAACCTGGGAGGCAGGTGTTAAAATGAGCCAAGACTGTGCCATTGTACTCCAGCCTGGGCAAAAAGAGCAAAACTCTGTCTAAAAAAAAAAAAAAAAAACAACACTCGTAATTGTTTTAAAGAACATAATTTCCATGCCAACGAAGTGGGGAAATGTAATAATAAGAAACTCATCCAAAAGAAGAGAATCAAATACATAAAGCAAATACGATGCATTTAGATAGCTATTATAAAATAAAAAGTACTAAGAAAATTATATTACATTAAGTATTTCATGCTCAGTAAAAACAGAGCATGGATTCCAGTTAATTACATTAAATATAAATGCCTCAAAATTGTCAGAATGGATTTAAAATTAAAATCCAGCAACATGCAATTATTATAGTTGATATGTGCAAAACAAAACGAGATGGGATGTTTGAGAGTAAAACGCTGGAGACAATCTGCCACAGAGAGAGTAAGCAAACATAATCTGTTGTAACTGTACTCTCAGACCAAACTGACCAGAAATGCTAAAGAATGATCAGGGAGCGAGAGAAACAATGCTTACTGAAAAGAGGCACAATCTGTCTCTTCATTCATAGAAATACTCTGTATCTATATCCCTAACAACAGTCCCGAAATGTATACAGCAAAAAAAAGACCCAAAAACAAGAAACAGAAAATTCAGACTAAAAGAAGACTTTAACACACCTGTCTTAGTAACTGACAGAACAAACAGACCATCAACAAACAAAATAAAATGTATAAATGAGAAAGAAATGAAACCTTTTATCTGAGGAATGTGACTCCCTTTAAATTATCAGGTCTAGAGAGGCATTAAAATGTGACAGCAGTCTTTCTAGAGGGTTTCCCCTGAAAAAAATTAAAAATTAAAAAAAAATTTAATATTACAATAGTCACATCTCATTCCCCTTGAGCTAAATAATTATCTCTTAAAGCCAATTGCTATGTAGGCTCTAGACTAACTCACACCGACTAGCCATAAAATGCCACTCATGGGCCGGATGCGGTGGCTCAGGCCTGTAATCCCAGCTCTTTGGGAGGCCGAGGTGGATGGATCACGAGGTCAAGAGATTGAGACCATCCTGGTCAACGAGGTGAAACCCTGTCTCTACTAAAAATACAAAAATTAGCAGGGCATGGTGGCGCGTGCCTGTAGTCCCAGCTACTCGGGAGGCTGAGGCAGGAGAATTGCTTGAACCCAGGAGGCGGAGGTTGTGGTGAGCTGAGATCTCGCCATTGCACTCCAGCCTGGGTAACAAGAGCAAAACTCTATCTCAAAAAAAGAAAAGCCTAAATTACTTTTCGGTGTAAGGATGGAAAAAGGCTCACAGAACACCGCTGGTCTACTGACAGTAATCTATTTCTTGACCTGGGCAATGATTGCTTGTACATGTATTGCCTCCATGATCATTAAATCGTACATTTAAAATATAGAAATCCCAAAAGCTAAAATGCAACTAAAAAAAAAAAAGAAAACTGAGCTGAAGCCACTGGCTCCAGAACCCTGTTTGACCCCACTCATAACTCTGTCAAGTTTTAGAGCTGTGTAATGCTTGATAAAGTGAGCTGTGCTCTTTTCCATTTATGGGAGCCATGTGACAGAATTAACTTACTTTCACACTATTTGGAATTATACAGCTTATAGTTTTCTTTGCAATGATTTTCAAATATATTTAAGCCTTTTTAATAATGGAAATCTTCTATCTACACTTTTTTTTTTTTTTTTTTTTTTTTAAGACGGGGTTTCACCATGTTGGTCAGGCTGGTCTTGAACTCCTGACCTCAGGTGATCCGCCCACCTTGGCCTTCAAAGTGCTTGGATTACAGGCGTGAGCCACCACGCCCGGGCTACACTTTTCTTTTTTTAACATATAAGTAAGAGTAGGACCAAGCAGAATAAAATAAATGTAAGGTCAGGCTTAAAAATAAATAAATAAATAAAATAAAATATATAAATCTAGAAAAATTAACAAAGAGGCCCGGCGCGGTGGCTCACGCCTGTAATCCCAGCACTTTGGGAGGTCGCGGTGGGTGGATCACGAGGTCAAGAGATTGAGACCATCCTGGTCAACATGGTAAAACCCCGTCTCTACTAAAAATACAAAAAATTAGCTGGGCACGGTGGCGCGTGCCTGTAATCCCAGCTACTCAGGAGGCTGAGGCAGGAGAATTGCCTGAACCCAGGAGGCGGAGGTTGCGGTGAGCCGAGATCACGCCATTGCACTCCAGCCTGGGTAACAAGAGCGAAACTCCGTCTCAACAAACAAACAAATAAATAAATAAAAGAAAATGCTCCCTCAGAAACTCCCAGGCAGATTTTTGCATATATAGTTGGTTAGAATTGCACCATATGCCTGAGCGCATTTCCATGTCGAAGCTACCACTAGCAACGGCAATTGGAACCACTAAGATTGGTTAAGACCAATCAGGCCTTACTAAGAAACTGGGATTTGGGTTACCTTGCCAAAGGGATGGATACTTAACAAAATGGAGATTCTGTTAAGAAAATGCGAATATATGTTTAGGTGGGCAAGCAACACTGTCACTATATATTAAGACATAAAGACCGGGCGCGGTGTCTCACACCTGTAATCTCAGCACTTTGGAAGGCCGAAGCAGGCGGATCACCTGAGGTCCAGGGGTTCCAGACCAGCCTGGCCAACGTGGTGAAACCCCGTCTCTACTAAAAATACAAAAATTAGCCGGGCGTGGTGGCTCGCGCCTGTAATCACAGCTACTCGGGAGGCTGAGGCAGGAGAATCGCTTGAACCCGGGAGGCAGAGGTTGCAGTGAGCCGAGATCGCGCCATTGCACTCCAGCCTGGGAGACAAAAGCAAAACTCAGTCTCAAAAGATGAAAATAAATAAATAAATAAAATAAGTGAGTGCAGAGGTTTTGATTTTGCCGGCCATGAGGTCTCTGTCACAACTCCACGCTACCTTTGCAACCACAGACAATATATAATCGGAGGGTATGACTGAACTTGACCGCCCCATCTGTAAATAGCCACTCCAAGGATCAGAAGAGTTGATCTGTGGTTTCGAAGTAACGCAGGGGGCTGTGTCGCCTTTTGCCACAGTAATCGAGGTTCGAACCTCAACCCAGCGCCCAGGGCGCCAAGGCCTCGAATGCTTTAGTCTAACAGGCCTTTCTACCAGACACTGCCCCCGTGCCCCTTACTCATACGGACCACACACTCTCCTGGGATGAACATCCTCCCCGACTCCAACATCACCGAATCGCAAATTAAATCCTAAACCCGAAGCAGACCCCGCTTGGATCCTAAGAGCCGCCTCCATCCTTTACGAGCAGAGTGATCTATACCTTGACAGTTAGGACGACACGGTCATTGTACTCACGCCAAAGGCACACGGACCACAGACAGACTCCCACCAGGTACCTCCCAAATGCCTGCACCCCGGCGCTCTCCGGTCTTCCTGCCAAAAACTACGTGATCCAGGCTACACCAGGTCCTCAGACCTCCCGAACCTTACACTGGGACAAAAATGTTTCACGGACAAAAACCACACACTGACCTCTATTTTCTCCAGAACCACAAGGAGGGCCTCGACGTTACACTTCCGTAAACTGCATCTACCACTTGCCTCCTCGCACAGGTTTATGGTCCACCTACGGCGGCCGATGAAAACCTAACGTTTAAAAGAGCAAGAACAACCGGATTTACGGCAGTTGCTAGTCTGTAATATGGCCGCGCCCAATGCTGTAGCTCCATGGGGGCAGCCATGTTTGAAAACCGGACGTACAGAAGTCAGTGGTAGGTTTTTGAGCCCAGCAGCCTGGGAAGATGAGCAGTCTGAAATCGCCTCATTTCCTGGCACTTCAAGTCTTGCGATAAGGGGCAGATTTTCAGAGACTCAAGCTTTATCAGGCAAATATGGGGCGAGATAAATTACTTTTAATACTTTGCTATCTTTGTTAATTTTTTTTAAAGGTTTTAAAAAGGACCACTAAGAGTGCAACCAGGTGCAGATATCACAGAGAATGAATTGAAGATGAAAAAGGTAACAGATCAGGTAGAAAGGGAGAAGCCAACACATCAGGTAGGCGGACACCCACGGAAAGCGTCTGGCGGAAAATAGCTTGCAGGAAGCGGTTTCTAAGAACACAAAAATAGCAAGTATTCAGGAGTGAAGAAAGAAAAAATACTTACAATCATTTTATTTTATTTTTGAGACGGAGTCTCATTCTGACGCCCAGGCTGGAGTGCAGTACTTAGGAGGCTGAGGCAGCAGAATCTGTTGAATGAGGGAGGCGAATATTGCAGTGAGCTGATATCGCGCACTGCACTCCAGCCTGGCGACAGAGCGATACTCCGTCTTAAAAGAAAAAAAAAAAAGGCCTGGCGCAGTGGCTCACGCCTGTAATCCCAACACTTTGGGAGGCCGAGGCGGGTGGACCACGAGGTCAGGAGATCGAGACCATCCTGGTCAACAAGGTGAAACCCGTCTCTACTAAAAATACAAAAATTAGCTGGGCATGGTGGTGCGCGCCTGTAGTCCCAGCTACTCGGGAGCCTGAGGCAGGAGAATTGCTTGAACCCGGGAGGCTGAGGTTGCGGTGAGCCGAGATCGCGCCATTGCACTCCAGCCTGGGTAACAAGAGTGAAACTCTGTCTCAAAACAAAAACAAAAACAAAAAACAAACAAACAAAAAAAAACAAAAACTAAGCCTTAACCTTCAACATCCAAGGCTCCCTTTCTCACACCCGTATTCCTCGGTGACTAAACTGAAATGCAACTCCTGAACACGAACATTCACATGCATTTCCACTTCGTGGTCCCCACAAGCTCCCCATCCAGATTCACACGCAGCATCAGGCTCTCAAGACTACGGCAGCAGTTAACAAAGGCTGAACATATATCAGCATCCACTTCCGACTCTGGAATTCTGGTGCTGCAACCCCATCCTTCACCAACTCTTAAGAACTTGGAGAGGCTGGGAGGCTGGCTTCCGGCTAGGGATATGGGACATTTCCCTAAGTCCAAGTTCTGGGTTTGAACACTCTATGAGCTATGTTACCTCATAGAGCCTATTGCGTCATTTCTGATGGGAGTGACCATAAGGGTTGCTATGCTCAGCCAGGTGGGAAGAAATGCAAATGTCTTTGGGTAACTTCAGTGCCCTCCCTTCCTCCTTACAAGAGACTGTCACCAACACTGCCCTAACTGGGGAGGTTTTCAGAGGCCAGAAACTATCTAGGGAGCAAAATGGAAAGATGGCTGCATTCTTGAGCCCTTTGGCAGGAGCATCACAGGAATCGCCATCTTACAGGAAGTCCAAGGTCCCTTACACAGAAAATACTGAAGACAACTGGCTGGATGAGGTATGTAGAAGCCAAGATGTTACTGAGGCAGCCACAGTCACAATGTGGACAAAACCACTGCAGGTTTCAGTCCTGTTCAGGTTTGACTGAATGTACTGTGAATTTTAGTAGTGAAAGGAATAAGGAGTTGTAGATGTAAAATATTCAGGTTTCAACAGCAACAAAAATAACATATTTGCAAATAAACCGTAAAGAGTCACTAATACTCAGAAAACAAAGCAGTCAATAAAACTAACTCCAAGTGGGTCCTAGTGAAGAAGAGTGGACAATAGCTTCAAAGCCAGTAAGATAAATCTATTTAAAAACATAAAGAAAAGTATTATCAACATATTTAAGTGTTTAAAAGAAAATATGGCAATAACCCAATAAACAAAAAATCTCAATAAAGACATTTAAAATATAGTTTAAAAAATCCAATGTAAATGTTGGTGCTGAAAAATACAGTAACAATGAAAAGTTCACATGATAAGATAACCAGCAGATCGCTATGTCAGAAAAAACGTTGAGTAAACTTAGAGAGCAAAAGAAATTATCCACCCGAAAGAAAAGAAGACAAAAAAATTGAAAAAAAAAAATGAAGCTTTAAATACCTGTAAGACATCAATCAGATGTACTATTTTTAAAATAGAGGTGGAGTCTCACTATTTTGCCGAGGCTGGTCTCAAACTCCTGATATCAAGCAATCCTCCTGTCTTAGCCTCCCCAAGTGTTAGGGTTACAGGCGTGAGCCACAGCACCCAGGCCAGAAGGGAATATTTTAAGAGATAATAGCCAAAATTTTAGGATTACATAGGAACTTCCTGAACCTTGTTAAAAAAATATATATATATGTCCAAAAGATTCTATAACGTATTTAATAGTAAAAGACTGAATACTTCTCTAAAATTGCAATCATGGCCAAGATGTCAACTCTCACTGTTTCTATTTAATAAAGTGGAAGCCCTAGCCAGTGAACAAAGGAAGAAAAGGAAAAGAAAACACTAGAACAGCAGAAATATCACTGCCCCTATTCATAGGAGGCATAATTATACAAATATAATCTCAAGGAGTCTACAGAACTAGACAAGTGAGTTTAGCAGAGTCATAAGGTGCAAAGTCAACACCTACTCAAATCTTATTTCTTTTCTCTTTTTTTTTTTTTTTTTGAGATGGAGTTTCACTGTTGTTGCCCAGACTGGAGTGCAATGGCACGATCTTGGCTCATTGCAACCTCTGCCTTCCGGCTTCAAGCAATTCTCCTGCCTCAGCCTCCCGAGTAGCTGGGACTACAGGCGCACACCACCATGCCCAGCTAATTTTTGTATTTTTAGTAGAGACGGGGTTTCATCTTATTGACCAGGATGGTCTCGAACTCTTGACCTCGTGATCCACCCGCCTCGGCCTCCCAAAGTGCTGGGATTATAGGCGTGAGCCATTGCGCCTGGCCACTTAGCATTTCTTAGAAGAACCACATGTGCTATTGAATGCTGCAGACAAACAGCTCCCCTCCCCGCGACTCCCCCCATCTTACCCCACAATAGCTCAGGGCCCCGTGCTTGCGTTGGTCCCCTGGATCCATATTTTGAAACCTTGACTCTTGTCTTTGTCTTTATTTCTTTTTTGAGTCCCACATCACTGCCGGGACTAAGGGCACCCACGTACAGGGTTGAGGCTGGCACCCAGCAGTGTTATTAGAGGCGTGAAAAGAAGCACACATCAACAGAACACAGTCAAGAAACGGACACAAGAACAGACAAATGATTTTTACGAATGTTCAAAATTAATTTAATGGAAAGCAGACAGTGTTTTCAATACTGTTGAATCAACCATAGGCTGAACTTCAACCCTTATCCTATATGCAAAGATGAATTTAAATGGATCATATCGCTAAATATTAAAAGCAAAACGACATTATTTTGTAAAAGGACATAGAAAAAAATCATCAATTACAGTAGGGAAGGAATACTTGGATGTAATGCCAAAATCGCAATCCGTAAAAGAAAAACAAACTTCCGAACTGGACTTCATCATAATTAAAATCTTTTTCTCTGAGAAAAAACAAAACAGCCACATCTAGAGAAAAATATTTGCAAGTGACATAAAACCGTTATCCAGCTGTATCCAACCTTTATCCAGCATTAATAAACAACTCTCTAAGCAGGGCACAGTGGCATGTGCCTGCAGTCCCAGCTACTCTAGAGGCTGGGACAGGAAAACTTGTCAAGGCCAGGAGTTCGAGACTGTAGTGTGCTATGTTGGTGCCTGTGCATAGCCACTGCACTCCAGCCTGAGCGATACAATGAGACCTTGTCTTTCTAAATAAATAAAGGCTTTAAACAATTGCAAACCAAGGCAACATACAATTGGTATGTGTCTATCCATGTCAAAGCACACGTAATAGAATAGGAAAAATGAAACATAGTGAAGCAGCAAGTGGAGGAGGAGAAAAACGGACCCTCTCATGTATTGCTGGTGAGGAATGAAACACGACTCTGGAAATGCTTGGTTAGCATCTTACAAAGATAAACATACACTTACCTTATGGCCCATGAATCACAGTCTTCAGTTATTATCCTTGAGAAACGAAAAATTGTTCTCACACCAAGCCTTTGTACACAAATGTTCATAGGATTTTTATTTGTAACAGAAAGGCTGGGCATGATGGCTCTTGCCTATAATCCTAGCACCTTGGGAGGCAGGGGCAGGTGGATCATCTGAGGTCAGGAGTTTAAGACCAGCCTGGCCAACATGGTGAAACCCCACCTCTACTAGAAATACAAAAAAAAAAAAAAAAAATTAGCCAGGTATGGTGATGGGCACCTGTAATCCCAGCTACTCAGGAGCCTGATGCAGGAGAATCGCTTGAACCCAGGAGGCGGATGTTGCGTGAGCTGAGATCGCACCACTGCACTCCAAAGAGAGTGAAACTCCATCTCAGAAAAAAAAAAGTAAGAAAAAGTAGAAACAACCCTAATGTCCTTAGTGGGTGAATAAACAAATTGTGGTATATTCATATCATAGATTATTAGTCACCCATAAAAATAAAACAATATATGATACATAGAACAAATTGGATGGATCTGAGGTTATTTGCTTTAGGTCAAAAAGCCAATACCAAAAGGGTACATGCTGTATGATTCCATTTTTAGAAAATTCCACTAATAACAAAACTAAAGATGAAAAGAGTTCTGATTTCTGAGGGTTAGGGTTGAGGAGAGGTTGTGACTATGAAAAGGTAGCATGAAGGAGTTTGCACCCATGCAACATTCTGAATCTCAGGGGTGGGCGGGGTGACACGAATCAATATATAAGATTTCTTAAAACTACAGATAAAAAACAAACAAAAATGCAGGCATGTTAAAAGTGGTGAGATCCAAATAAATTCTGTAGTTAAGAGTATTGTAACAATTTCCCTTTCCTGTATTTGATCGTGAACTACGCGTTAAGTAAGGTGTTATCTTTGTTAGAAGCTGGGTTAAGGGCATTCAAGAACTCTGGAATATTTTGGTAAGATTCTGTGAATCTAAACTTATTTCAAAATAAAAACTTACAAAAACATCTTATTTATATTAATTTAAACCTTAAACACATTCAAGTAGGTTCAATTACACTTATGAACTGAATACACTGTATCCAGTTTCGTGCCGAAGTACTTCGATTATTCTGAAATAACACACTTAGAACCAAAGGAATGCAGAAGTTAATCATATAATAAAATGAGGCGAGCATAAAATACTCTTGTATTGTATACAAGATTTAATTTTAGTTCATGATTAGAGAAAGTCACAATTTAAAATGTATAAAATCGGTGACAAGGCAACTAGATATATGGCTCAAGGTATCCTGTTCCCAAATGCACGAGGCATATTATCTGTTAAGGTAAGAATTGTGAGGGCTGGGCGCGGTGGCTCATGCCTGTAATCCCAGCACTTTGGGAGGCTGAGGAGGCTGGATCACGAGGTCAAGAGATCGAGACCATCCTGGTCAACATGGTGAAACTCCCGTCTCTACTAAAAATACAAAAAATTAGCTGGGCATGGTGGCACGTGCCTGTAATCCCAGCTACTCGGGAGGCTGAGGCAGGAGAATTGCCTGAACCCAGGAGGCGGAGATTGTGGTGAGCCAAGATCACGCCATTGCACTCCAGCCTAGGTAACAAGAGTGAAACTCCGTGTCAGAATTGTGACAGAAAGCTCTCATCCATCATTTTGCGAAGACTTCTTTCCTTCATTAAGTTCTCTGGTATTTTCCTATAAGTCTTCTACACTGAATGTTTTCATAAGTTTTTTTCTACATTATTTCCCGGCACATGAGGCAAAACATTTTACTGAACACCCTGCCATGTTCACTGCCAGAGGAAAACACTTCTCCAGTGTGAACTCTCTCAATCTACGGAGGTTTTATTTCTGGGCAAAGGCTTTCCCATAATTATTACACTTCCACCAATTAGTAGTTTATTCATGATCTATGATGATCATTTCTGAGAGGGTTTATCTTCCCACCAAAGGCTTTCATAGTCTGCCATATTCATAGGATTTTTCTCAGTATAGAATCTTTAGACATAATGTCCTAAAATATTTTCTCAAATGTTTTGTATGTTTTTTCTGACACAAAACATGAGGTAATTGATCACTAAACAACCAAACACTCTGCATTCATGAAATTACTCTTCTTTGCAGATATCTTCAGGGCCTACATCTGGCAGGAGGCTTTCCAAAAATGACTACCTGTGAATTCTCTTGTGTTTAACAAGGATAGACAAGTGGGCAAAAGCTTTCCCACACTCACTACATCCATAGGGCCTCTCTCCTGTGTGTTTTCTTGAGTGAACATTGAGCCCTGACTTTGTAGTGAAGGCCTTCCCGCAGTCACTGCATTTGTATGGTTTCTCTCCCGTGTGAATTCTCTGATGTGTAATGAGATCATTTTTGCGCAAAGAGAATTTTCCACATTCAGTACACGCAAAGGAAGTCTTTCCTGTGTGAAATCGCTGATGCTGTATGAGGCATGTCTTCTTCCTGAAGGTTTTTTCACATTCGTTGCATTTGTACGGCTTTTCTCCAGTATGAGTTTGCTGATGTATGCTGAGAGTACTCTTCATGGTGAAGCTCTTTCCACATTCATTGCATATATAAGGTTTCTCCCCAGTATGAGTTCGCTGATGTGCAATGAGCATGCTTTTCCCAGTTAAGCCTTTGCCACATTCACTGCAGACATAGGGTTTCTCTCCTGTATGAGTGCGCCGATGTACATTGAGATGACTCTTCTCCGTGAAGCCTTTTCCACACTCACTGCATACATAAGGTTTCTCTCCTGTATGAGTTCGCTGATGTCCCATTAGCCGGATCTTTGCTGGAAAGCCCTTTCCACACTCACCGCATACATAGGGTTTCTCTCCTGTATGAGTTCGCTGATGCACAGTAAGGCGGCTCTTCACAGTGAAGCCTTTTCCACAATCGTTGCATATATATGGCTTCTCTGCAGTGTGAGTTCGCTGATGTACAATGAGGTCACTCTTCATGGTAAAACCTTTTTGACATTCGGTGCAAACATAGGGTTTCTCTCCAGTATGTGTTCGCTGATGTCTGATGAGTGGGCTTTTCAAGGTGAAGCCCTTTCCACACTCATTGCATTTATAAGGTTTCTCTCCAGTGTGAGTTCGTTGATGTACAATGAGACAGTGCTTCATTGAAAAGCTTTTTCTACATTCACTGCATGTATACAATTTCTCTTCTGTATGAGTTTGCTGATGTGTGACAAGACTGTTTTTCAAAGTGAATCCTTTCCCACAGTTAATGCATATAAAGGGTTTCTCACCAGTATGAGTTCGATGATGTGCGATAAGACGCCTCTTCTCAATGAAGCCTTTTCCACATTCACTACATATATAGGGTTTTTCTCCTGTATGAGTTTTCTGATGCGTAGTGAGACTGAACTTTGTAGAAAAGGCTTTCCCACATACACTGCATCCATGGGGTTTCTCTCCTGTGTGGGTTCGCTGATGATAAATGAGCCGACACTTTTTGATGAAGGCTTTCCCACATTCGCTACACGTATAAGGTTTTTCTCCCATATGAGTTTTCTGATGTACACTGAGCTGTGATTTCTTGAGGAAGGTTTTGTCACATTCGGTGCATTCATCATGCTTCAATCCTGGATGAGTTATCTGATGGTCCATTAGCCTGGATTTTCTGGAGAAAGCTTTCCCACACATACTGCATCCATGAGATTTTTCTCCATTGTGAACTGTCTGATGATGAATACGCTGGGACAACTTGAGGGAGGTTTTCCCACATTCACGGCGTACATGGGCTTTCTCTACGTTGTGAGTTCTCTGCTGCTTAATCACCTGGGTCTTATCAATAGGTTTTGCAACTGCAGGAAACTTCATTTCACTATAAAATTGTTTACGGTTAGCATGAAAAAGGGATTTCCCATCTCCATTAAACTCAGCAGAGTTCTTTAGGCCAGAGCTCTTTTTCTGGTTTTCAAAACTTAAATTTGATTTTAAAGGTTTTTCATGTAAGTCAAAGGTTTGATGATGTTGCTTCAGCAGGATATGACCTTCGTTCTGATTAACAACATTTCCAAACATATTCTGTTCATGAAATTGTTTCACACTCTTCTGAATACTTGGGTTTTGCAAGTGATGCTGCAGAGGATCATCAATTTTCCTGATTTCTAGGAAGGAAGAGAACAGTCAATCACTCCATCATCTTGCTTTGAAATAAATTATTTAAACTACTTTTGAAAACTGCCAGGCCAGGCGCGGTGGCTCAAGCCTGTAATCCCAGCACTTTGGGAGGCTGAGGCGGGTGGATCACAAGGTCAAGAGATCGAGACCATCCTGGTCAACATGGTGAAACCCCATCTCTACCAAATACACAAAAAATTAGCTGGGCATGGTGGCATGTGCCTGTAATCACAGCTACTCGGGAGGCTGAGGCAGGAGAATTGCCTGAACCCAGGAGGCGGAGGTTGCAGTGAGCCGAGATCGCGCCATTGCACTCTAGCCTGGGTAACAAGAGTGAAACTCCGTCTCAAAAAAAAAAAAAGAAATGAATGCAGTAAAAACATCTATGGTGAATTAAAGAAAGTTCAGAATTAGCAAAACTATGAAGAAAATAATTTGCAGCAGACATAAACGTCTGATGGTTTGGGCCAGAAATAATACAGGATATTACAAGGTCTTTTCTAATTAATGAAAAATGTATCTTCAAGTAGAGAACTTGAAGAGAGTTCAGCAGGTAGAAAACATTTAAGGTAATGCTAGGATGGGCAGAATTTATGATGTGCAGTAATGAAGGAGACGCTGAATTTAAACAGGAAAGCCTGTAGCACGATTCACAGTAGCAAAGACATGGAATCAACTAGGTGCCCATGAATGGTGGACTGGATGACTGTGGTACATATACACCATGGAATACGATGAAGCCATAAAAAAGAATAAAAGCGTGTCATTTGCAGCAACATGGAAGCCGCTAGAGGCCATTATCCTAAGTGAAGTAACTCAGAAACAGAAAACCAAATACTGTGTCATCTCACTCAGAAGCAAGAGCTACACATTGGGTACACGCAGACATAAAGACAGGAACAACAGACACTGGGGACTCCAACAGGGAGAAGGGAGGAAGGCGAGGGCTGAAAAACCACCTACTGGGTACAGTATTCACTATGGGGTGACAGAATTGAGCTATTGAATCCTTGGCATCAGGCAATATATCCACGAAACAAACTTGCATATGCACTTCCTGAATCTAAAATAAAAATATAAAAGATACAATAAAATGTAAAAAATTAAATAAGGATAGCCAAAAGCATGATTCTTGGAGAGATTATTCTTGTTCGTCATACACAAAATGGGAAGTTACAGGTTAGGTGTCATGAAGACAAGTAAAATACATGGAAACAAGGCATACATGAGATAATATTAAAGCAGAAGTCAGTTTGGTAGTCTCCTCCAGAGAATGCAAACAATTAACTCATGGGAGTGAAAGAAATCTTTAAGAGAACAGAAAAGACAATGGAAGAAGCTGGGCACAGTGGCTCACACTGTAATCCCAGCACTTTGGGAGGCCAAGGCAGGGAGATCACTTGAGCTGAGGAGTTTGAGGCCAGTCTACGCAACATGACAAAACCCCGGCTCTACAAGAAATACAAAAATCAGCTGAGCGTGGTGGTGTGTGCCTGTAGTTCCAGCCACTTAGGAGGCTGCGGTGGGAGGATTGCTTGAGACCAGGAGGTCGAGGCTGCAGTGAGCCATGACTGCACCACTGCATTCCAGCCTGGGTGACAGATGAAACCTTGTTTCAAAAAAAAAAAAAAAAAGTATGGAGAAACTCAGTATTCGGTATAGGAGGAATAAGAGAACTTAAGAAGCACATAAATGCCCGTCAGAGACCAGGTTATTATGGGCACAGCATCCAGAGTGGGAAAAATGAAGGAAAAGAATTATTCCCAGCGTGTGAATAATGAAGGAAAAATATTGTTTTCCTACTAGGGCGGGAAGACGCAGTATCACAAAACAAGTAATGAGTCCAAAGGTATCTCTTTCTGGAGAAGCCTAGAAAGTGGAATTTCATAGCAAGAGAGGTAATACACAAGCACAGACACTGTGACCGTGGATGAGAAAAGGCAGATGTGAAAATCCTAATATAATTATGTAGACAAAACCAAGATGCGCATAAAATAAACAAAGATGAAATCTCAAGGAAAAGAAAGTGGGGCATATTTTCCATACTACAGAAAAAAGAAGAGCCCTTCCCTGGGAAGGCGTCATGGAGGGGCTGTTGCTGTGTGTTCAGATGCCCTCAGTGCTTTGGCATCTGCTTTCTGTGAGCAGGACATGCTGTCTGGCTGCCCATCTGGCCGGTCCGCTCACTCGCTGCTGGCTGCCCATCTGGCTGGGATGTCTGGCTGCCCATCTGGCCGGTCCGCTCACTCACTGCTGGCTGCCCATCTGGCTGGGATGTCTGGCTGCCCAGATGTCTGGCTGCCCAGATGTCTGGCTGCCCATCTGGCCGGTCCGCTCACTCACCAGAACAGATCTGAGTGTAGATTTCATCTTCTGTTGTGCAGCAAGGTTCTTCTCCTCGTTCCAACTTCAAGAGTGCATCTGGTTTGCTGGCTGGATACCCTGTTCATGAGAAATGACAGAAGACTTAGACATATCAAATGAGGCTGGCAATGTTGAAAGGGGAGAATGTGACATTTTAAGAACTACACAGGTGTCAAATCTATAACATCGAGGCTTTTCTCTCACAAGAAGATAGATTATACTGTCCGGTGTGAGACAAAAGAATGATGTGAGAATCTACCCCTTCAGAGTACTACGGGTAAGCAGCTGAGAAAGGACGGCCACTGACTGGGCACCCTCTGAATGACACAAGGCAGCTGTCCTCACCCACTGCCACCAGGTTGCTGTAGTTCTCCAACATCACATCCCGGTACAGGTCCTTCTGAGCAGGGCCCAGGAGCTGCCACTCCTCCCGAGTGAAGCCCACAGCCACATCCTCCAGTGTCAGGGATTCCTGTAATAACACGCTCTGTTTAATGAAGTGATACTCTTTTTGTGATAGGAAAAGAATGTCAAGGAAGTCATTCTGCTCATTTTTACCATTAGGAAGCTGGTGGGTTTTTTCTCAGCACATTGCAACAGAATAAGAATCCTAGTCAAATATTCTGTAATTGTGCAGTCATCTATTTTCAACAAAGTTGAAAAGTCAAAGAAATTTTTTTTTTTTTGAGACAGAGTTTCGCTCTTGTCACCCAGATTGGAAGGCAATGGCGCGATCTTGGCTCACCACAACCTCCGCCTCCTGGGTTCAGACAATCCTTCTGCCTTAGCCTCCTGAGTAGCTGGGATTACAGGCATGCGCCACCATGCCCAGCTAATTTTTTGTTTTTGGTTTTTTCTTTGAGACGGAGTTTCACTGTTGTTACCCAGGCTGGAGTGCAATGGCGTGATCTCGGCTCACCGCAACCTCCGCCTCCTGGGTTCCGGCAATTCTCCTGCCTCAGCCTCCTGAGTAGCTGGGATTACAGGCACGCACCACCATGCCCAGCTAATTTTTGTATTTTTAGTAGAGACGGGGTTTCACCATGTTGACCACGATGGTCTCGATCTCTTGACCTCGTGATCTACCCGCCTCGGCCTCCCAAAGTGCTGGGATTACAGGCTTGAGCCACCGCGCCTGGCCAAGTCAAAGAAATTTCTGTAATACGTAACCATCCAATCCTCTTGCTAATGAAAGAACACCTACAATATATAGCATATATTTCCCAGTACCAAACTAGTTCTAAGTATATGCTAGTTACAAGTAGATGAATAATACAGATTCTTAAATTCACTATGAGCTTTCAGGCCAATTATCAAACTCTGTAATGAAAAGACGGCAGATGCGAGTATCACGGCAATGCATCCTAGGTAACTATGGCTAATATAGTTAACCATATTATTATTTTATTCTGAATGAAATGAAAGAAACGATATAAAATATATATGAAGAACAAGAGATTATTAGATGATTAAGCAAATTTGGTTTTTGTTTGCTTATTTTGCTTTTTTTTGAGATGGAGTCTTGTTTTGTTGCCCAGGCTGGAGTGCGGTGGCACAATCTCAGCTCACTGCAACCTCTGCTTTCCGGGTTCAAGCAATTCTCCTGCCTCAGCCTCCCGAGTAGCTAGGATTACAGGCACACACGGTTAGCCGAGATCTTGCCATTGCACTCCAGCCTGGCCAGGAAGAGTGAAATTCCATCTCAAAAAAATAAAAAAGAACACCACCTACCACATCACCTCTGTGAAGAACCATCAGAGATGTATCTAGCCTCAGAATTATATGCCGTGAAACATTAATATCCCTCAAGAAACTGGTCCGCTTTCTCACAGTTGGTGTAACTTATCATGATTCTCTTGTATAGCTGTCAGAGATACTAGAGGCAAGTCTACAGCAAATGTAACCTACAGAGCCCTGCACAGACACAAATTCCAACATGAATCATATCGTATGAATCCTATGAATAAAATATCCCTGATCCTTCTGTGTCCAGATTTCTCCAAGTCCTGATATTCCTAATTTACACTTTTCTGATTAATTATACTGATTTTTACAGGACTTTCAAAATACATTGGAGAATAAAGGAAAGAATAAAACAAACCAGGCCGGGCGCGGTGGCTCACGCCTGTAATCCCAGCACTTTGGGAGGCCGAGGCGGGTGGATCACGAGGGCAAGAGATCGAGACCATCCTGGTCAACATGGTAAAACTCCATCTCTACTAAAAAAAAATACAAGCTGGGCGCCGTAGCTCACGCCTGTAATCCCAGCACTTTCGGAGGCCGAGACGGGTGGATCACAAGGTCAAGAGATCGAGACCATCCTGGTCAACATGGTGAAACCCCGTCTCTACTAAAAATACAAAAATTAGCTGGGCACGGTGGTGTGTGCCTGTAATTTCAGCTACTCAGGAAGGCTGAGGCAGGAGAATTGCTTGAACCCAGGAAGCGGAGGTTGCGGAGGTTGTGGTGAGCTGAGATCGTGCCATTGCACTCCAGTCTGGGTAACAACAGCAGAAAAAATAAATGAATAAATAAAACAAGTCAAAAGTCACCTGGGCCTGCATTATTGTCTCCTAAATTTGGGAAATTACTGGTAACTTGGACATTCTGTATTTGTTTCTTCTGAATCAGCTCTAAATTTCTGCTCAAAAACTTCAATCTCCAGTCAAGGACACCCCAGAAATGATGACACCCCAAGTCTTGGAAACTCTGCCTCCTTCCTTCACTTGATTTCTTGTTCTCAGTACCTGTGGGCTAAACAGCAAATGACTCTGAGTGATACATTCTCTTTAGGCCCAGATGTTGTCACTGTTCCTATAGGCTCACCTTAAATCAAGGCCCCAAAATATCTATCTGTCCTTTTATTTGGTGCTCCAGAAATTTTATATCTGGGCTAGGAAAATATAACATTCTAAATATATGGGAGGCACAGCTCCCTTATTTTTTATTTTTTTTGAGACGGAGTTTCGCTCTTGTTACCCAGGCTGGAGTGCAATGGCGCGATCTCGGCTCACCACAATCTCCGCCTCCTGGGCTCAGGCAATTCTCCTGCCTCAGCCTCCTGAGTAGCTGGGATTACAGGCACATGCCACCATTCCCGGCTAATTTTTGTATTTTTAGTAGAGATGGGGTTTCACCATGTTGACCAGGATGGTCTCGATCTCTTGACCTCGTGATCCACCCGCCTCGGCCTCCCAAAGTGCTGGGATTACAGGCGTGAGCCACCGCACCCGGCCCAGCTCCCTTATATATAAAGTGGACATGGTATGACTACTGCTAGTAAGCGAAAGAGGACGTGGGAAGAAGATCATCACAACGTGATGCCCCAGCAGCAGGGGAATCCTCAGGCAGATCGATTTTAGAAAAGAGGTCACACGGACAGTGAAGATGCACACATTGTCTTTAAAACCATGTGCACCCATCTGCCTTTTCAAAGGCCTTTTTACATTCTAGGATACATATGCTGTAATTTGAGAACACTGTCCTAAGCAAATAATAAGAACTATCTTTTGTAAATTTCTCATTACCATCCACATCTTTAACTTTTTTTTTTTTTTTTTTTTTTTTTGAGACTCTAGTGGCATGATCTCTGCTCACTACAACCTCCATTACCTGGGTCCAAGTGATTCTCCTGCTTTAGCCGCCTGAGTAGTTGGGATTACACGTGCATGCCACCATGTCTGGCTAATTTTTGTATTTTTAGTAGAAACGAGGTTTCACGCCGGGCGTGGTGGCTCACGCCTGTAAACCCAGCACTTTGGGAGACCGAGGCGGGTGGATCACAAGGTCAAGAGATCGAGACCATCCTGGTCAACATGGTGAAACCCCGTCTCTACTAAAAATACAAAAAATTAGCTGGGCACATTGGCACGTGCCTGTAATCCCAGCTATTCAGGAGGCTGAGGCAGGAGAATTGCCTGAACCCAGGAGGTGGAGGTTGCGGTGAGCTGAGATCGCGCCATTGCACTCCAGCCTGGGTAACAAGAGTCAAACTCTGTCTCAAAAAAAAAAAAGAAAAGCCATATGGTCGCCCAGGACCTGGACCATCTGTTTCGTAAATAAAGCCTTATGAGAACACAGCTAGATGCATTCCATGACATCTCATCTCAGGCTGTTTTCACATTACAAGGTCAGAGTTGAGAACTTGGGTGTAGAATGTTACTCAGTAGAATGCAGTATGAAAAAATAATCAAAGATGACTTTTGAATATAAGAAGGGGCAAATTATCAGTATTTGCCTAATATGTCCGTATTCCCTTAGTCAGGTGACTGGATACAAAATCTAAATTAAAAAATCCTATATTCTCCTGAAGCATATACAGATCAAGAGTCAGTATTGAGAGCAGAACATTTCTTGGGGATAATTTAACATTCTATTGAAAATTGCCAATAAAGGTATCCCTGGTAACCCAAAACCCCATTTCTAGAACTTTCTGAAAAGGTAATATTGGAAAAAGTGTGTTATCTGAAAGGCCATTTTCACTTTCTTCATTGGATTTTTCATGGGCAAAACATGTTTACCTCAGAAAAATATTAGCATTTGACATTTTAAAATAAAATTTCTCATGGTAATTCAGTAATATAGGTTTATGGCTTTAAATGTTTTCATTAATAGAAAAAAGAGAAAAACAAAGAGGGAGGAAGGGAGAGAGAAAATGAATATAAATACAAATTTTACAAAAGATAAAGCCACTGAAGATTCTCAGACATAACCCTGAGGAAGAGATGTTTAACTTCGCTTTTGGTCAACAAGGAAAGAGACACAGGTCATGCCAATTACACAATGAGCAAGAAGCAGAATCAGGACTGAAAATCCAGGTTTGTTTCTATTCAAAATTCACTTTTTTTTTTGAGATGGAGTTTCGCTGTTGTTACCCAGACTGGAGTGCAATGGCACGATGTCGGCTCACCGCAACCTCCGCCTTCTGGGTTCAAGCAGTTCTCTTGCCTCAGCCTCCCGAGTAGCTGGGACTACAGGCGCGCACCACCATGCCCAGCTAATTTTTGTATTTTTAGTAGAGACGGGGTTTCACCATGTTGACCAGGATGGTCTCGATCTCTTGAGCTCGTGATCCACCCGCCTCGGCCTCCCAACGTGCTGGGATTATAGGCGTGAGCACCGCGCCCAGCCGTAAATGTTTATTACATAATATAATGTAAAAGAGAAAACAGTAGTACCATGTACAGAATTTATCTGAATTATGAATATTAAGCACATAACATACATGTCTAAAATGGAAATATTCTAAAATCTTGACAAAGGTTATGTTTCAGTAACCGAGCTTACCATGGCAGAGCTGGTATCTTACTGGTATCAAGAAGAACCTGAAAAGAAATATCCAAGAGGAATGTACCGGAAACTTGCAGACAAAGAGTAGAAGCCGCATCTTAAATAGAAAAGATACTACTTTTCTGTGTGCTAGATGATTGATCTCGCCGAAAACTTCCATTTTTGAGGATTCAAGACCAAGGGGTGATGGAGGTTTCCAAAGGGGATTTAAAAACCATTCGTGGAGAAGGGTCTTGGGCAGAAGGGGAATACTAATTGTGATATAGCTGGCCTAGAATTAGAACCAGTACAATGCCATTTTAAAATGGGAAAACTGTTTCCATTCTCCTCACAATGACTGCTAGCCACGGCTTCTGTAAACTACTAAGATTACCTTGCAAAATGCAAAGAGAGGACAAGCTGCAGACTTTCTCTTATCTGTAACTGCCAGAATTGCTGGCCTTTGTTTACCAAAGTAAGCACCCCCAGATAATTCCATCCTGGCGCCAAGTAACCTAAAATTATGTGGACCCCAGACCTGTCCAAATAATGTATAAACTAATGTTTACCTTGACCTCTGTAAACCACTTAGGTGGCAATCGGAATGACAAAAGTCCCCTGGCCCTTGGAATATCTGGAGCCCCCTCACCCTCCTCTCAGCCTAGGAGGTGATTGACAGCTTTCATTCCCATCTCCGTTCCTCACCCCCACTCCCAAGGTGGTTTTGTGGGTATAAAAAGGTCTTGTCACTCTTCTTTCTCTGTCACGGGTTGGAGAGACGTGAGTCCTCCGTGGTCGCCGGCAATAAACCCTGCAATTTGGCATCCTTTGTTCTGGTGTTGACTTTCTGTGCTGAGTGCGATATAACACTAATGATCATCAAATCTGTTCCAGTAGCCAGGGCTGGGGCTCAACGCACCACCTGCCATGCTTCCCAGGCCTCCAGAGCTGCAGCCCACACTCGAATCTGTAGCAGGAACACCACCGCCACCCGGATTAATTCCAAAACCTGCACCAGAAATCTCCTTACCTTAACCCCCAAGATAGTTCCTCAGTCATTTAGGACCAAACACAGCCCGAACCATAAACCTAATAGCTGACGAAACAAACCCTCCAGTTCGCAATCATGGAGCCCCGCCAAAGAGAACAGCAAAGATACCAGAATGTGGTTGGGGCTCTCAGTAGCAGATTTCGAGAGATTTTGAACCACAAACCACACGAGGACCCTGTGACTGGTCCCAGAGGCACCCCGATCACACACACCCACACCCACCCGCGCGCGCGCGCACGTGCACACACACACACACACACACACACCCTATCCGGGACCCCTTAGAGCGCCCTCGCAATAGGAATCGCACCCACGCTAAGCTCCTCAAAGAATTCCACTGGCGTAATCAAACGCTGGCGCGATCACCACTGTCCACGAACACGCCCAGCCACAGACCGAATTTCCTCCCCCGTAACCACAGCGACCGCCCAGTAACTGAACTTACTTCCCAGAAGTTGGTCAGCTCCGGCCTCATCTCTCGGCCTCCTCACTGCCTTACGGCAACTACGGAGGGCCGGAAGCGTTCCCAGTGTTTGCTCAGAAGCAAGATGGCCGCGCCCTCGTCGCCGTGGCCCCACGGGGGCCTCCATCTTTGAGTATCTGACGTACACAAGGCGAAGGGGCCGTTTTGGCGCCGTCACCGGCCACCGCCGGGAAGATGAAAGGGCACCGAAGCCGTCACTTTTCGTGGTGCCTCAGTCCTTCATAAAGACGGGTCCATATACGGAGGCTCCAGTTTACACAAGACAAAAATGGCGTGGAAATAAATCTCTTTCAGCGAGCTGAGTAGAAGGCTAAGCTGACCGCGACGTTTACACCCTGTACAAACGTCAGGAAACAGCCCCTTGTGAGGGAAAAGGAGAAGTGGCCGAGAGGGGACACCTCGGCCCCTTGGCCGGATTTCTAGCAGAAAGGGGCTTGAAGCGCCTTTTGAACGCGGAAGAGAACTGCAAGCTACGCTGACGGAACAGGGGTGGCAGTCACAGACTAGGTAATGAAAACGGTTGGAACGTGTCAAAAGTATATTGAGCGAAAGGCCCGGGGTAAAGCCAGTAAAAGCCGGAAAGTATAGTTCCCGAGGCGAAGGGCTGAGCCTGGGACGGAGGCGGGACTTCTCCCTCGGACCTGGGTGGAGCCAAAGATGAGGGCAGGACTCGGGAGAAGTGGCCAGAAATTAAGGGAACAGGACCCCTTCAGGGAGAAATAATATTGGAAGAAAGGGACAAAGGAAAGGAGCCCCTCCCTCCCTCCCTTCCTTCCCCTTCCTTCCTTCCTTCCTTCCTTCCTTCCTTCCTTCCTTCCTTCCTTCCTTCCTTCCCCTTCCTTCCCTCCTTCCTTCCCCTTCCTTCCTTCTCTCCCTCCCTCTCTCCCTTCCTTCCCCTTCCTTCCTTCCCCTTCCTTCCTTCCTTCCTTCCCCTTCCTTCCTTCCTTCCTTCCTTCCTTCCTTCCTTCCTTCTCTCCCTCCCTCCCTTCCTTCCCTTCTTCCTTCCTTTACTACCTCCCTTCTTCCTTTTCCCTCCCTTCTTCCTTCCTTCCCTCCTTCCCTCCTTTCTTCCCTCCCCTCCCTCCTTCCCTCCTTCCCTCCCTCCTTCCCTCCTTCCCTCCCTCCTTCCCTCCCTCCCTCCTTTCTTCCCTCCCCTCCCCTTCTTCTCCTGTTTTCTTTTCTTTTCTTTGGCAAGGGCCACTCTGTTGCCCAGTCTGGAGTGCCTGGGGAGATCACAGCCCACTGTAACCCGGAACTCCTGGGCTCCTGAGTAGCTGGGATTACAGGTGGACACCACCACACCTGGCTAATTTTTAAATTTTCTGTAGAGACCGGGGTCTCACTGTGTTGCCCAGCTGGTTTTTAACTGGCCTTAAGCAATGCTCCCACTTCTTCCTCCCAAAGTGCTGGGATTACAGGTGTGAGCCACTTTACCTCTCACCCGGCCCATAGAGATCTGAAAAGAAAAAAGCCGAGCGCGGTGGCTCACACCTGTAATCCTAGCACTTTGGGAGGCCAGTGCGGGAGGATTGCCTGAGCTCAGGAGTTGGAGACCAGCCTGGCTAACATGGCGAAACCCCATCTCTACTAAAAATACAAAAAAAATTAGCTGGGCATGGTGGCGCAGGCCGGTAGTCCCAGCTACTCAGAAGGCTGAAGCACAAGAATCGCTTGAACCTAGGAGGCGCAGGTTGCAGTGAGCCGAGTTTGGGCTGCTGCACTCTAACCTGGGCGACAGAGGGAGACTCTAGTCTCAAAAAAATAAAAATAAAAATAAGGAAACGATGACCAACTTGAAAGCTCACTAACATTTTCTATAAACAGATGGAGGAAATAAACAGGACACTTATTTTTTTAACGTAAATGATCCTAGTTTTAAAAATACCAGTTTTACTAAAATTCAAACCAATGCAAAGTAAACGTGAAATGTAAATGTTTTAACCCTTAAGATTTATAAGAATTGAATGATAATCATATTTAGATTATAAGGCCATGGAACAAAGGCATTCTGTTATGCTAAACCTCTTTAAGTCTTCTTTTTCTGTATAGTGGGTAAGAATGTTGTCCATGATATACAGCTTTAAATAAATTGAGATATTATCATACTCGTCATAATTCAAAGTTGGTTTTTGTTTGTTTGTTTTTAGACGGAGTTTCGCTCTTGTTACCCAGGCTGGAGTGCAATGGCGCGATCTCGGCTCACCGCAACCTCTGCCTCCTGGGTTCAGGCAATTCTCCTGCCTCAGCCTCCCGAGTAGCTGGGATTACAGGCATGCGCCACCTTGCCCAGCTAATTTTTTTGTATTTTTAGTAGAGACGGGGTTTCACCATGTTGACCAGGATGGTCTCGATCTCTTGACCTCGTGATCCACTCGCCTCGGCCTCCCAAAGTGCTGGGATTACAGGCGTGAGCCACCGCGCCCAGCCCAAAGTTCTTAAGCATTACATTATTTCTAGGTATATGATTGTGTCTCTATATAAATTAGTAAGTGTTTTTGTAGTGCAGTCTGTTGTTACCCATATTAAAGTTTTCCTTCTCTTTGAGCCATGAATTTTAAGAATTAATTCAATAGAGCTTATCTTTGTGAGAACAAATATGTGCAGGGCTATTTATGGTATCGATTTGACAAGTTTAAGGAGATAATTTTGTGGCTATTGCATAAACTTTTTCTTGTATCTCTATATTCACATCTTTGGATAATATGCTCCATTGTGACTCTGACCAATGTGTCCAATAGGACAGTGCCAAGTGTAACACAGAAGTCAGAAATAAGCTTGCTCATAGAGGCTTGCTTTGTCTTGTAGAGATCTAACACATTGTAATAAAGCACCCCCCCGCCACAACTAGCCTCTTGTTGACTCTGTAAAGGCCTCATCTATTCCAGCAGAAGCTCAAATAAGTGAGTAAAACTATTTAGACCGTGCAACCCCAGTCAAAATGCAACCACTAGAGCCTCCAGCCCAGCAGTCCCAATTGTTACTAAACTCTGTGGACAGGCATAAACCCATGGGTGTGAAGGGGTCACCTAATCTGCCATTCAGGTGCTCATCCCTGCTCCTAGCCAAGCAGGACTTGCCAGCTTGCGGGGTGTCCAAGTAGGGAGGGGCCCTCACTCTCGGATCACCATAAGAGGTGAGACACCTTGGTCTGCAGGACATTGGAGAAATCGGGTGTGCCTTCCTCTGTAGGGTCACCTGGCAATGATATAGCCTGTCTGCAAACCATGATCTCTGCCTGAGGGAACCCCATGAGCAGAGGATGCCAAAGGCCTTGCGAACCCACCCCTTACACTAGATTTAATGATTGCCCTGCTGGATTTCGAACTTTCATGGAGCCTTTGGCCCCTTTCTTGTGGCTTTCACCCTTTTGGAATGAGAATATTTACCCAATGTCTATACCCTCATTGTATCTTGGAAGAAAAGAACTTGATTTTACAGGCTCACATGTAGAAGAGGCTTGCCTTGTCTCAGATTAGACTTTGGACTTTTGAGTTAATGCTGGAGTGAGTTAAGACTTTGGGGGACTGTTAGGAAGGCATGATGGTACTTTGCAGTGTGAGGACATAACATTTGTGGGGGAGGAGGACCAGGGATGAATGATATAGCTTGGGTATTTGTCCTTGCCCAAATCTCATGTTGAAATGTAATCCTCAAGGTCAAAGGTGAGGCTTGGGAGGTGTTTGGGTCATGGGGGCAGATCCTTCATGGGGGTTTGATGCTGCCCTTGCGATAGCGAGTACCAGCAAGATGTAGTTATTTGAGTGTGTGGCACCTACCACCCTCCACTCTGTCTTGCTCCTGCTCCCTCTTCACCTTCCACCATGATTGTAAGCTTCCTGTGGCTTCCCCAGGACCAGATGTCAGTGCTACGCTTCCTGTACGGCCTGCGGAACCATGAGCCAATTAAACCTCTTTTCTTATAAATTACCCAGCCTCTAGTATTTATTTATAGAAAAACAAGAATGGCAAAAAACATGCTGTCTCTACTTAAAAAAAAAAAAAACAACAAGCCGGGCATGATGGTACACACATACAGTCCCACTTACTTGGGAGGTTAAGGCAGGAAGAACAATTGAACCCATGAGTTTGAGGCTAAAGTGAACTCTAATTGCACCACAGCACAAGACCCTCTCTCTCTCTTTTTTTTTCCCAGAGTCTTACTCTGTCGCCAAGGCTGGAATGCAGTGGCAGGATCTCAGCTCACTGCAACCTCCATCTCCCGGGTTCAAGTGATTCCTGCCTCAGCCTCCCAAGTAGTTGGGATTACAGGTGCATGCCACCACATCCAGCTAATTTTTTTGTGTATGTTTAGTAGAGACAGGGCTTCACCATGTTGGCCAGGCTGGTCTTGGACTCCTGACCTCAAGTGAACTGCCTGCCTCGGCCTCTCAAGAGACCCTATGTCTTAAAAAAGAAAAGAAAGAGGTTAAGATTGTAAATCCTAAAAAACAAACAAAAAAACACCAAAAGCAAAATCCTGTATATAAATTTCACAGCTTCTTTATTTATAACACTTCAAATCAGGTAAACAGTGCAAATCTCTCTCATAGGTGAATGGATAAACAAGCTAGTACATCATATATGGATACTACTCCCTAATACAAACAACTTTCATCTGGATAGATAGATGATGGTAAAAAAATACTAACGAAACAACTATTCATCAACTCATATAAACCTTAGGAGTAATTTGCTGAGTGACAAAAATGCCGAAAGCTGACATACTCTCTATCAATAAAAATGTATATAACTTGTTTATATAAAATTTATAAAAACCATTTATAAAAACGATTTTATCACATTCATGAAATTATGAAATTATACTGATGGAAAGGAAAAGAGTGGGTGGCAGAGTTAGGTTTGGATGGAGTGTAAGCATAAAAAGGAAGCACGAGGGAGTTTGCTTCATTAAACAGTTTTATGTGGTTGCGGTGGTTACACCAATCTATACATGTAATACAACTTCTTAGAGTCAAAAGAAAAAAGAAAAAATCATAAAAACCAGTGAAATCCCAGATAAGATTATTTACTTCACGGTATCCTGCCAATGTTATTTTTCTGGTTTTGCTAATTATGGTCATGTAGGATGTTTTACCACAAGTTGGTTGAAAGATTCTGGCAAAGCCTCCAGACTATCTTTGCAATTTCTTTTGAGTTCAATTTTATTTAAGTTGAAGGTGGTTTTATAAACTGACCAATCTTAGTTAAGCACATCCAAATATGTCGTTATGTTAATATATTTAACATATTCGGTTTCTTTTTAAACTACTTCAGTTTGCTAAATGTACAATTAAGCTTAGAGCCAAAGAAAGGAAAGAGCTAATCATAATATGCAGTGGTCATAGACCATTCCTGTCTGGTTCTGGGGTATTTTCTGACACCAATGAATTCTCCAATTCTCCCACACCAACTGGGTGTTTTACAATTCAATTCTGACACTACTCCAAGTTAGTGCAGACTCTACAAGTTAAGGGGCTCAGTCCAACAAGACTGCCCCATATCAGATGCCACTCACAAGGACAACCTGCACTTCTGAATGACTGGCGGTAAATTCAGAGTTCCCACTACCCCTGCTCAGGTTTGATAATTTGCTACAGGGCTCCAGAACTCAAGAAAACAGTGTACTTTGTTTTATTGGTTATAAAGGATACGAATGGACATTCAGATGAAGAGGAACACAGACTAAAGCCTGAAAGGGTCTTCCTAATCTCAGGAGCCTCTGTCCCTATGAAGTTGGGGTGTACACTCTCCTGGGATATTTGGAGTTCTCTTAATCTCACTATCTAATCTCCAGCCCCCCTCCCCTTCCAGGAGGCAGGAGAAATGGGACACAAAATTTCCATCCTCTAGTTACTTGATCTTCCTAGGGAACAGCCACATCCTGAGGCCGTCTAGGTGACCGACTGTAAGTCACCTCAGTAGCGTAGTCAGGTGTAATTAAAAGGGCAGTGCTATGAATAAAAACAACAACAAAAAGAACCATCCTATTACTCAGGAAATTCTAACGGTTTTAGGAGCTCTGTGCCAGGAACGAAGGAGAAAGACCAAATGTATGTCTTATTATGCCACAGTTTTACATCACAGTAACATAACCAGTGATGAGAACAGAGTATATGATGGAAGCACTGGCAAGGCAACTGAAAATGCACAGCAGGTGTATTAGCTGATGTATAAGGTTACTAAGAAAGAACGCTCAAACCTTCACCATTTTCACCACATTTCGTGCCTTCATATGCTCTTGATATTTTGCTCAGTGCTCCACATTTATTTGATAGCACGTTCCTAACAATTTTACTTTCTATGTGATTTTCTGACAAATGATGAAGCCGAATGCGTCTGAAATCCTGCCATTAGTACTGGCACCTTAAATGTCTTCTCCAGTGTAAACTTTGACACTCACTGAGGTCGTATTTCTGAGTAAAGGCTTTGTCATGGTCATCGTATTTCTATCAACAATCAGCTCACTTACGTTGAAATCTATGATGAAACCTGATAATAAAGTCTTATCTGTCCAGAGAAGACTTTTCCTAGTCTCTGCAGTCACAGAATTTATCTCTGTACACTTTTCAGATATGAGCAAAAATTATTGTTCGACATTTTCACATTAATATATTATAGTTTATTCAACATGTTTCATTAACAGAAAATATGAGGTAAAAGACCACTAAAGGCACTACCTTATTTACTGTATTCATCAAGTTTATCTCTAGGGCAAATTATTTTACCTCCTGAGGACACACATCTGGTTAGAGGCAGCACCATGTTTACGTTCTGATTTGCTAGAAACACAGTGATGTTTAAAAAAGTCTGAGGTGCCACAAAAAGCATTTCCATAGTCACTGCACTAGTAGGGTTTTCATTATGCATGAGTTCACTTGTAAGGAAGGAGCTGTGACTCCCCATTACAGGAATTTTCAACTTGACTGATTCTATTATCCATTTCTCTTATGTGCATCTTCTTATGTTTGACAAGGTTTGATAAGTGGGAGAAGGCTTTCTCACAGTCACTGCATCCATAGGGCCTCTCTCCTGTGTGCGTTCTTTGATGTACATTGAGTACTGACTTTGTGGTGAAGGCTTTTCCACATTCATTGCACTCATAAGGTTTCTCTCCTGTGTGAATTCTCTGATGGGTAATGAGACCGTATTTGTGTGAATAGGATTTTCCACACTCAGTACATACAAAGGGAGTCTTTCCCGTATGACATCTCTCATGTTGTATGAGGCATATTTTCTGGCTGAAGGCTTTACCACATTCATTGCATTCATAGGGTTTTTCTCCTGTATGAGTTCGCTGATGTATAATAAGAGTACGCTTTGTGGTGAAGCCTTTACCACATTCATTGCATATGTAAGATTTCTCTCCCGTATGAGTTCGCTGATGTATAATGAGAGTGCGTTTGACAGTGAAGCCTTTTCCACATTCGCTGCATATGTAAGATTTTTCTCCTGTATGGGAGCGCTGATGTACAATGAGATTGCTCTTCACCGTAAAGCCTTTTCCACATTCACTGCATATATAGGGTTTCTCTCCAGTATGAGTTCGCTGATGTACAACAAGGTAGCGCTTCATGGTGAAGCCTTTGCCACATTCACTGCATATATAGGGTTTCTCCCCTGTATGAGTTCGCTGATGTACGATGAGATTGCTCTTCACAGTGAAACCTTTTCCACATTCACTGCACACATAAGGTTTCTCTCCACTATGAGTTCGCTGATGAGCAATTAGATAGCGCTTCATTGTAAAGCCCTTTCCACACTCACTGCACATATAGGATTTCTCTTCTGTATGGGCTTGCTGATGTGCAATGAGACTACTCTTCACTGTAGAGCCTTTTCTATATTCACTGGGTATACAGATTTTGTCTCTTGTATGAGTTTTCAGATGCTTACTAAACAGGACACTTCTGGACAACCTCTCACGCTGACCACTTCCAGGATTCTCTTCTATACGAATGTTCTCATGGTAAATGAGCTGAGACTTCCTAAGGAAGGTTTGCTCACTTTCAATGCAGGCATGGGGTTTCTCAATTTTCTGAGTCCTCTGATGCTTATATACTTGGAATTTTGTATGGATGTATTTTGCATTTTCAGAAAATCTAGTTTTAGTATGCATACGTTCATGCTTAGCATGTAGAAGGGTTTTCTCACTTCCAATAAACTCAACAGGGTTATTTATTCCATGTCTTCTCTTCTGGTTGATTGAACTTAAACTCGATTTCAAATTTTTTCTGTACAAGTCAAATGTATCATGATTTTGCACTAGAGGAAAGTTCGTCTTGCTGAGATGTACAGTATTTCTAAATGCATTCTGTCCATTGCACTGCTGCATGCTCCTCAGAAGTCTTTGGTTTGGAGAGTGCTCTTGCAGATGACTGTCAACTTTCCTGATTCCTAAGAAGGAACAGAATAACAAATTCTTCCTTGAGAATTGTATGAAATAAAAATGCTTATGAGATGATTTGCTGGGGGCGGGCTCTTTACTGTGAACTCTGATCCCAGTATAAAAGGAAATTATGAAGATGTAAGGTGAAATAAGTAAGAAATAGATCAAGAAAAGATAAAAAGTCTTTAAAACTATAACAACATTTAAAAAGTTACCAGATGGGGAGATGAATATATAGAGTAGCTGCTTAGGTATCCTCAGATGTTTTGCATCTGTGACCTTTCCTTAATGACTAAAGTAAGTCTCAGATCACCACTGTCCTTGCTGGTTCTCATTTACCTGGACAATTTTTATTCTGGATTTTAGCATCTGTTATCCATGGTTCTTGTCCATGTGCCAACTTGGATAGAGCATCTGGTTTGCTAGTTTGGTACCCTGTCCATGAGGAAAGACAAACACAAATACTGAATCGGAGTCCAGCACGTCAAGATGGGAAAATACTACATTCAATTTCAAAGTAAGCATTCTCTCTGAGAAGAGA